TCTTTGTTCTTTCACTGTTATGTTACTTTGTTAATTCATTAATTTCAACAATTTTTGAATTAACGAGAACAATACTAAATATAATCATATAATGAGATACAATATAAAAATAAAGGAACAAATTAATTTAATTATTATTGAATTACATGATATAATATTAATATTTTTTGTAATACATTTTAATTTTTGTTGATTAATTTTTGATAAAAATGATAATAGTATTCATCAGATTTTGGTAACTTTAATTCAATTTTTTTATTTCTTATTTATTCCTAAAAATTTTTCTTATAAAATCTTTTCTATTTTTATTTGAAGAGATAATTAAAAGTCTCTGACTTCTCAAAATAAAAATTTGCATAATATTTAGAGATAATATTTAATAAAATATTAAAAATAATAGAAATATTATATATTACTCTATACAAACTTCAAAAATTTCTCAAAAAACAAATACTAATCAAATTAAATTTTGTTAACTGCTATATTAATTTTTGCATAGTATTTACCAAGAAGAATACTAATAAAAATTAGTACTTTACATGTAATAAAGAATAATATAAAGCTGGCAAAAACTGAGAAAAGTTATCTAAAGACTGGAAAAAAGCTATATATTAATCAGTTATAAATTTATTACAAATACAATATAATAATAAGAAACAAGTACAACTTCTTCAATATTAAAATGAATATATAAACACTAATAAATATTTGCTAAAAACAAAATTTTTGATGATTTATACTATAAAAATCTTATAAAGATTGGTTTTTTTATGAATTATTATAATGTAACTTTATTAGATTTGATAGATAAATTTTAACTCTTTCAATAAAATAGAATAACTATTGAATGATTTTTTTAATTAATGCAAATTTTCTGTCAGAAATTCATATTAAATAGAAAAATCTGATAATTACTGTAATATTTCTGAATTCTAAAGCTTCAAAGAATTTTAATTTATTTTTTAGATTATTAATTAATGAACTAAAGTAATTACAAGGTAAAAAATTCTTCTTTTCAGATAATTTTTACTTTTTTACCAAATTGACAGTTCAGAAAATTATTATTTGTGCAAATAATAACTTTCTGAACTGTTAATTTATATAAATTCTAATTTTTCTTGATTTTTTCTGAATGACAGATAAAGTTCAGTGCTATGATATCAAAAGTAATAAAAATTTTATATTACGTATACATATCCTGAATTAGTTTGATAATTTTCTTACTTTAGCAAAAGTGTTATATATTATTCATATTAAAAATGTCATTTTTATTACTTGTGAGAAATTTATTGTACAAATAACAAACATATATATTATTCATTATTATCTCCAAAATGATTAATTAACATTCACTATATATCTAATATCTTGTTGAAAAGAACTTATCAGTTATCTTTAGAATATTAATATTATTAAAAATTTTGAATAAAAAGCTAATCATACACAATTAATAAAGACTATTGATATAAATATTTTTCTAGAATTGAAATCAATAAGATTTTTAGATAGTTTTCTAGTGAATATTATACAGACTTTTCAAAAATGTTGCTCTGACAATGTTTTGATACTGAATTAGCATATTATTTAAATTAGATAACAATTTCAATATCTCTAATAATAACTAGAAATAAATCAGAAGTATTATTAAAAAAAAATTGAAAAAAATATATTATACAAATTTGAACATATATTAGTTGATATACTCTAATATTCTAATACTTTTAAGATGAAAGAGTAAATATTCAAACAAGTCTTATTTTGAAATAAAAGCAGTTTTTGATTTGCTATTTTTTTCTATTGATATTTGTTAATATTTAAAAAATAAATTCAAAGATAAAAACCATTTTGAATTTTCAAGATTGTCTAATATTTCATTAATGAATATATATCTTTTTGAGTAACTAAATTCAACTTTCTATAATCTATATAAAGTTATTTCTTTTCATTCTTTTTAGATATTATAATAATTAGAAAAATCCAAAAGCTTATTGAAGATTATATAATTCCAGCTTGAAGTATTTTTTGTATTTCTTTAACAATAAATTCTTGATCTGGAATTATTGCTCTATATAATCACTATTTGATTGGAATAGCTTTATAAATATAGTTAAATCTCTCTATAATCACGCATATTTATAATCACATCACTCTATAGTCATCTTATTTTGCTTTTTCATTTACATATAAATATAATAAAAAAAACCTCTCTATAGTCATCAAATTTTGCTTTTCCAAGAGTAATAACTATAGAGAGATTTGATTATATTAATTAATTATTGAATATCTTGAGTACATTCAAGTTTGCTAAGTACTTGTATAAAAATATTTTCAAAAGATTATTTAGTGACTGTTATTATATGATGATTAATTCTTTTTGTTGTATAATTAATTTTTCAAATACTTGTTGAATAAAGTAATTTTCTCTTTTAATTAAGTTAGTAAAACTGAAATTATTAGTTCCTCTCTCAGTTTTATCAAGTTCTTTTTGAGTTAGTATTAAAATTAGCCAATTTTGCCTTTATTATCTTATATAATCACTCCAACCTGAATTAAAAATCCTTTTCCAAAATAATATCAACATAAATCTCTTCCTGATTAGCACAAATTTCATCACATTCAGCATTAGTTGCTTTATCAAATAATTGAGCTAAAGAAAATAATGGAACTGTAGATGAATCCTAACAGGAAAATCCAGCTGGAATCTCATCGTAAGGAGTGGTTTTGACTCCTGATTGGATATTATCCTAAATGCCATCAGCTATCAACTGTATGATTTTTTCTGCACCTTTCTTCCTATGATTATTTGGCAGGGGTCTCCGGCTGAAATTTCAGTTATACGATTTTGTAAATTGTCAGATAATAGAGTTAATGATGCCTCTTGATCTCGAAGCTTTTTTTCCTTTATGCTCTGAATTATCTCTTCACTAACCTTTTCTTTATACTTTGAATCCAGAAATTCATCGACATCCTTATCTTCTAATGATATAGGCTCAGTTTTTATCTGGCTCTGACACTATATTCCTTATCAGAGTGATCCTTGATAGGTGGTGTAGATAATTGAGATGTTACTGATAATGATGAACTGGTTGGAGAATCATTAACCTTGCTAGCTATACTAATACTTTGGTCCCGCTTTTCGATTTTATCAACAGCTCGTTCTAGCTTAACAATTTTGGCTTTAAACTCAGCATTTTCTTCTATAATCTGTTTTAGTTTTGGATTTTCGTGCTTAAGCTCAGCATTCTCGGTCACTAGCTTAGCATTTTCTTGTTTGAGTAAATCTAGTTCGGAAGGCGTGATTGTTAATACAGAAAGCAGATTTATTTAAAACTTCAGATTTTAATTAACTAACATCATGATTCGACTTGTATCACGTTTTTTAATCAACCGTAATGTAGACCGTGATGTAGCCCGTGATGGACCGTGATTCATATAATTATATAGGGAAATCTGAGTGCATTATTTTTTGTAACGCGCTAATTACATGCACATGCATCGTTAAAGTACATTTATATAGCAATGCTATAAATGAATTTAATTACATGAATATCCTCTTTGGATACTAAATAATTTATTGAATTATATGATCGTACAAAATAAGTTCATTCAATTTTAAAAAAATCAATCGGTGGAATCCTTCCCTCCCCAACCACGACCTCTCCCTCTTCCCCTATTCCTTTCTCCTTCTTTTGATATTTTTGGTAAAAATTCTGCAAATGTCACAGCTTTTGGCCGTTCTGGTGTGACTCCAGTTGGATATTTAGTTTTAGGTTTCGCAATATGTCGCTGTCCTTCCTTTGCAAACTTCTCAAACATCCTAACCTCCTTAAGAACATTATATCGTAAACATAAGAATGTTCGAATAAGTCGAGGTACATGTTCTAAGTTATCAGTAGAAGTTGGGATGACGAGAGCTGGAATCGTAAATGGTGAGAACAAATATAATCCAGGTCCAATAAATATCATTTGGCCAATTTCAACATTATCACCTGAGAATAAGTAATATATATTATATACTAAAACAAAGAAATGTTTGTGAGCACACAAAAATATTTTTGAAAACTTACCAAATCCTTGAGCCAAGAAAATCTTTAATGTACTATATACTTCTCACGTTGGCAGTCCCATTCTTGTCATAAACTTATTGATGGCAAAAACACCCTCATTCATCAACTTCTGCCTATCTTCATTAATTTTATCTGGATCCGGATTATTGGGACCTTCCGATACCTCAAGCAAAAACAATGGAATTTGCATGGGTCGCTCAAAAAACTCCAATACACCATCAGCTTTAAAATTATTTTCTTGAACATCTATTTTTGTAGAAATACTTCGCTCACATGAAAAATAATGTAATGAGTCGATAAAACAAAATGTGACAAAAAATATATATGCTAATACGTGAGCTGTTCAGGGGTATTTTTCATGGCACCATTCATCTTTATGATAGTATCAAGATGACTAGAGATGCTCTTAACAATAAACATATCAGGCATTTTAGATTGATCATAATATTGTGCTGACATAGGAAAAGTGTTGGATAGGTAGTGGTATTTTTCGGGTAATCCATCCAATTGATGCACTATTTCCTTCATTTTGGCAATTGATTTGTTAAACTTTTCGTTATCTCCTTTCATATTTTTCGTCTCTTCATTATTTTCATTTACAAGATCTACTTCGTCCACAACTACGTCATCACAAATATCTTCCAAGTTCTCTTCCTCCACAATCTGATCAAAGAGCTCTATATATTTACGTGTCTTTTCATTTATGTGCATATCCTCATCATCCAACACTAACCTCTTAAACAACGATTTCAACTCATCCTCATCTAAAAGGTCATGAACCTTATACAATGTATCTTTATCCCCTAAATCGATAACATGATAATTTGTAGCATCTTGATTGTTCCAGATAGATTTAAGTTTACTATAATATGACGGAAATTCAACTTTGCCGAAAGTGTTGGAGGCATCGATCACTGAATCCACCAAATCTTCATCTGTAATACCTTTTTCAGCCTCTTGCTGTGTGTTGCGCGCACGTTTTTTCGGCAGAAAAGGTGTGGTAGATCGTTGAGCTTTCTCTTTCAGATCCGACGCAACATTTTCATCTTCGTATCTTCCAATAATCTGAAAATCTCTTATTGTGGATGGGTTCTATGCATTCAAAGGTAGTCAAAGGGTCAGCAGATGTTTTTACTAGCTAAATTTTAAGTTATATACTGACTTTATTTGGTGGAGTTGAGAATCCTTCTTCAAAATCATTCAAATTATGCCTTTTTCTTGCCGATAATTGAACATGCTCATCTTTAAAATTCTCCAGTTGTCTGGCAAGTGTAGTCCGTACAACTTGATCACGAACTACTGCTGTTCTGACAACCTCATTATGTTGCTCTGCCTATAAAGGAAGAAAGGAAGTAAAACACATGTTTTTTTTGTATATTTCGTTATATAAATAGGTCTAGAGATAACTACCATCAGAATATTACATTCAGTAATTAGGTCTTTCATTCTCTTATCCTCCTTTACGTTTTTGGTCCATTCCTAGGCAAAAAAAAATAGAATTAGCAAAGTTCTTAGATTAAAAATTAGATGCACTATATCAGAATTTATTTGAGGGATTTGGGGAAGAATGTCAAACCAAGAGTTTATCACCGATTGACCAAGAGTGTACGGCTTTGCAGGAACCAAGAGTTCATAACCAAACAACCAAGAGTTGTTCAGCTTCTGCCAAAGTTAGAGTAGGTACGAACCAAGAGTTCATAACCGATCGACCAAGAGTGTACGGCTTGACCATACTCCAACTTTCTTCCTTTTCACTTTTTTTTCGTAAACATACCTTCCAGTTGACAATTATAGACTCTGCTTTTTCTCTACGCGTTGCATCAGAGCCAGATTTTGAAATTCGTTTGAGGTCTTTGTTGATCGTGTCAAGAATTTGGTTAAAATTAAGCTGGACATTATTTTCTCTGTAATACTTTATAGCATTCTCGCACGTCCATTCATCAACGTCAGTTTTAAAAAAATCCATATTGCGTTGGAGTAAAGACCTGAGAGACCGAGACTTTTATGAATAATCGCGGGACTTATAATTAACGGTCACATGATATCAATCGTATTGTTTACATGATACACACGTGGTTAAAAAAACAAAATCCCGATGTGTGGAAACACTAAAGCAAGGTAGTGGATTAAGGATTAAGTCAACTCGGATAATCTTATAATTATCCGGATTGACTTAAAAAACAAACAAATGTCTTTTGTTTAGTAGTTGGCCCAGCAAATTCTAGCTGGGCCCTCACCAACGAAAAGAAGCGACGAATACTCACTAACAACACCACCGACGTGAATCAAATTGGAATCTGATCGCGATCTGGAGAAATTCGCAACTCCAGCGAAACGAAAATGGCGGCCAAACTCCTAACAACATCTTACGCGACGGTTTCGTACCGAGTTTCTTGAGTGTGAGTATTTGGCGTTTCTTTTTATTTATTGGTGAGCGTCTAGTTTCTTCATTTCGTTGGTGGCGTTGCAAATTTTGACTGGTTTCCGGTTTGGTTTCGCACCGGGTCTATACAGTATTGTTGAACGTCCATATCTCTGGAACATATGATCAGATCTTTGTGATCTATAGTCCTATAGTTAAGGTGAATATTTTTGCGTTTATATCAACAAAATCTGGACAATATTGGTGGAGTTATTGGTATTCAAAGTCGGCGCATGAAAAATCACAAAATGCCGGACGGTCTGTGAGGCAACAACATCTCACCGATCTGTGTTTAGAATTTTGCGAACTCGGGTTTGTTTGATTCGTCTAATCAAGACGAACATTCTTTGTATTCGGACCACAAAAATTGGTTGGATATTGTTGGAATTTTTCCGAGATCGCTGGTGTTGGCTAGGGTTAGTAAGAATTCCTTGGGTGTCCAGTTTCTTTGTGCTGGTTTCATCGCGACCGGATCCAGTGGGTTCTTTGAAGAATATTTGATGATATTTCAGATAAAATGGGAGTCTTTGGGTGAAAGTGATCTTGAAAAAAACAATGTCAACAACAATCAAATAAAATTTTTAATTGTTCAGTTTATTTTTGCTATCAACCAGAAACACTGTAAAATTGCCTGCAAATTTTATGATTAGTACTTTTAGTGTGGATTTATTCAAAGAATATTAAAGCTCATTATGCCAACACTAGTATTTTTATTACATAAAATTACCTTGCTTTGTTTGTTGATCAAAATTATTTAGCCAATTATTATTTAGCACATAAATCTGGATTTGGATTGAATTCAAAATCACATGATATTATTCAGCTTTAGTGAACTTCCTCTTAATGTGAACAAGCTTTATTATATATACATAGTATATTTATATTATGATTTGTAAGATCAAAGTATTACATAATACATGTATTTAACAAGGTCAAACAAATTATATTTTTATTATTTTGATAAAATGAAATATTGTCATAATATGATATTTTACAAACAATCTCATTGAATAAGAAATATATTAATTATTATTGGATTATATTAGGGTTCCAAAAAAAAGTCTGGTTCAGTTCGAGTTTGGTTCAGTTCGAGCTTGAACCAAACTCAAACCTGACGAAAAGTCTGGTTTGAAAATTCGAATCTAATTAAAGTCTGATTTGAATTTGGTTTGAATTTTGAACCTGACTTGAACCTGACCAAAAGTTTAGTTTGAGTTCAAGTAATTATTAGTTAATATTCTAAGTAAAGTTGTAGATCATAACATGAGCTACAAATTGATATAAGATAGTTAATATTTGGAATGAATATTTAAGAAGTTATATGAATTTAAAAAATAATTTTAATTATTATGATTTTAATTTACTTTAGTTTTAGTAT